AGCTCCGAAAGGTTTGTAAACAACTAGCGCCACACCAGGAGATTATCTCGCCTCCTGAAACCGCGAACCAATGAGAGAACGAGACCTCCTAGCGTCAATGACAAATGCATCAAGGTTTTCCCGGGAAAAGTATCGCGTAGCAGCCAAGTTTTTTTTTTCTTTTTTTTCTTTTTATCTCACTCTGTCGATCGTTTAGTACTCAACGAAGCGGGCGAAGGAAAAGCCTGCGCCAGAAAGGGTAAATCTGTCGCATTCTTCTTTTTCTCCATCGGTTTCGTCAGATTCCGACGAAGAATCATTTTTACAACCATCGGTGGTGTGGACTTTAATTTGAAGCTGCTTGCTCCAAGGATAATCGAATGCTGCCGATCTTCAGCGGATGCCTAGCTTGTCGAAGGCTCCTGGCCACAATAACAGCCTTTGTCGCTTTCAACGAGGACAATGACAAAATGTTGTCATTTCTCTCTTCTTTGGGCCTGTGTTTTTCTTTTTCTTTACCTAAATCTACTTTTGAAGTATGTTTTTTATCCACGAGAAAATACTTTCCACGAGTAGATAACTTCCAAGTGTGAATTTTGTGAAGCGCGCGATGTAAACAAAGTATGCAAATGACATAAAATTGCCGCGAATATTTCCCAGGGGGGTTCGCCCATCTACGATATCACGACATCTTCCTGATTTATCAAATTTTATTTGAAAATATAATTTCTGAATAAGTCGGACGCTTTTTGAGATTTTTACTTTTTTTTTTTCCGTATACGTTAGTTAAAATGTGCAACTTCAATCTACTCCAAAAAAGAAAAAATCGATTTTTTCGGCCTCTGAAGGTAGGAAATAATGGTCACTCGTGGTTACTCGTAATCACTCTTGGCCAAGTCACCTGTGGTCACCTGTAATCACTCGTGGTCACTCCTGTTAAGTTTTAAGTTTTACTTTTATTYATTTCTTTATTTATTTATTTTTAAATGTAGCACCACACTTAGCTACAAGCTACTTTCCAGGAAGCCCACAATAAACAACAGAAATAGATAATTCAAATTGAACATAAATTGTTAAGTATCCCAACCGGCTGGAGGCAAACCAGTTGGCTATTTACAAGCATGGCCGAGAATTTGAACTCGGAGCTACCGTGAAACAAATCCAGATAGTGGTCAGAGCGGGACTCGAACCCAGGAGCAGCGGATTACGAGTCCGACTGGCTGACCACTCGGTCACGCTGCCACCACAACCACACCACCACGTGGTCGCTCGTGGTCGCTCGTGCCACTCGTGGTCACTCGTGTGTACTTTTTGACTCGACTATTTATCTTGAGTGCACATTTACTTTGCAAACGGTTTTCGTTTTATGTAAAAAAAGATTTTCAAGAAAATTTCTGAATGAAAATCTGTCAGTTTGTCATTACGGTTTTCTTGATGCCCTGAGAAACTTGGTACTTGAACTTTTCTTTTTCACAAATGTTTGAGGAAATCTAGTCTAGCGAGAGTCTTGATTTTTTTTTCTTTTTTCGCTTTCACCGCGCAGGGAAAAACAAATTCCATGAACGACGCAAAAGATAAGTTAAACTGCATTTTGAAAAACAACATTTGGTAAAAGTTAATGAGAAAGACAAAATCTTTCACATTATTTTTTTCCCGTTTAAAGCGTCGTTTTCGTTTTTTCCAAACCAAAGGCCCTCAATAATTTAAAATTTAAGAACGCGCCCCGTGTGGAGCCATTTCTCAGAGAAGGGATATGTTTCAGTTTCTTTGAATTTCCTAGCAAATTAACAACACATTCTCATCAGATTGCGCGTTGTGTCAAAGTAAATTCATAATTAGACATGCAACGTCTCTTCTCATCTTTACCTTGCAAGGTCTCAATTGAAGTTACTTCACCAAGTGTACACAATCTCTGCATTTTTTTCCATTTAGTCTTAGGGATTATCCAAGAATATCCAATCCGCTTTTGGAAAATAGTTATCAAGTAGCCTTTTTCATCATTATCCAGCTCAAGCAAGACTAATCGTAGTGTTCATAGCGATTTTTTTGAGGCTGACTCGATAACCTCGCGCCTCTTTTAGCCTCCATGCACGAACTATAGAATATCCCTATCTTTAATTTTTTTTTACAAATGTATCATTTCCTGTTCTTTTATTTAATATTGTAACTAAAGCCTGAGTGTGTAATAAACTGTTGCTGATGTTGTTGTTGTTTGTTCTTTTTTTGCGCCTATTTAATTTGGCTGTAATCAACGGAAAGATTTGTCCTTTTCTATGGCAACCACGATAACAAATGTAAGCGCGGAATTTGAAATCGCTAAAAAAAGTTTAATATAGGTAATAAGCAGCCAGACCTACAGACCAACTGACTAAAAATTTTGTTGAGACAAAAATTCGAATTTTTCGGTCAAAATAAAGTTAACCCTTACTTTAACTGCTGAAAGCTCAATGGCTCAAGGCAGCGTCCCTTTCAATGCGCTAGCTGCCCCAGAAATTTTTCTTGTTGATGATGGTTTCTTTTTTGATTAGTCTTAGTTCCCCATTTTCCCCACACACACATACACAGAAGCACAGTTTTTAAATAATTTTTTGAAAACTTTTTTTTTTGATTTAAATATAGACTAGAGAGCAGCACTTCTGCGAACAGTAGTTGTGAAACTGAAATCATTTTCCGACGCGTTTCGTCTAACTGTCGTAGACTTCTTCTGGGAGTTTTGCAAGTATAACTAAACACCTGTATATATAAGCCAAGGTTACGAAGCCGATGACCATAGAGGCTTGACTGGACTTAACAAGAGGAACAGGCGAAGTTTTGAAAAATTTAAAACTTGCAAGGCAAGTTGAGAAAAATATTTTAGGGGCCACGGTTTTAGCTAAAACCGTTGCCTCTTAAATATTTGGCTTCTTTTTCGATTAGTCTCAGTTCCCTCCTCCCCCCTCCCCCCCAACACACTCACACATACATTCCAGCTTCTTTTAACTTGTTTAAGATTACTACTCGATTACTTTCAGAGAAAAGGATTATCAAGAGGAAAAATAACGGTAAAATGACTTAACTGAATTGAAAATAACACGCCCAATTTCATAAAGTTAAAAGTGTCCAGTGTCTAATTGGTCACAAATTTACCTAACAAGTTTAACCCTTTTAAAAAATTTATATTTACCAGCCAATGGCGGACGAACAGGGATTTTGCGATGGCATGGTGGAGACTTATGACGAAGAAATCAACTTTGATAAAGATGTGAAAAAAGTCATAGACGAAGGGATTAAGGAGGCAAGACAAATGGACCCTGAGAAAAGAGCGCAAGTGATTGAAACTGCCGGGCGTTTAGCCTACGACATAATGATTGTCGAGAGCATTGGAGATGAGAGAGACGCTAAAGTAGCCAGAGGAAGGAAGGAGGCTGCTGAAAATTTTATCAAAGAGGAGTTAAAAAGGATGGTATCACAAGAAGACGCTTTTAAACAAGAACGTTATCCATACGCAGAATTACTCGTGGAAGCAAAAAAGGCCGCTGAAAAAGAAAAAGAGAGGATTTTCAACAAGGGAAAAACACAAGCTGCTGAAAAAATCCCTGAGCAGAAGACTTGGAAACGACTCAAGAGCACCAGTGAAGAGTTGGAAATAGAAACAGGGGTAAGAAAAGGTTGACAAATAGAGAAATTTGAAGAGAGACAAGCTCAAAGATTTCATCTTACCAACAAAGATGATAACATACCAACATCTTAGAAAAGTTTGCCGAAAACCTAAGGAGGAAAGATTTCTTTGAAAGGGCTCTTAACTGAATCTGGAAATAAAGGGTAATAAGTTGCTAAAGAAAGCCCGTCTCCTTACAATATTTTGTTCGAGAGAATTTTCTAGTTTTTCCACTGAGCCATGATCATGAGCATGACTCCGGCGATTTGAAAAATTATATAGAAGATTTAACGTCTGCCCCGAAGGGTGAGAAGCATTCTGACGACGGCTATAAGGATTTTAGTAAAGCCAAAGGAATATGATAGATATGGTAATCCAAATCATGCTTCATAAATGTAAGGGTGACAGGGGAAGGGTGGCGTGTTGGTATGGTCCTCTTAATTTACAGAGACCAGAACTCGCTAAGAAATTGCAAAGCATAATTAGATGGATTAGTAATCCAAAAGGAAAGGAGCATGGTTTGTCCGTAGATTATTATGATTCCAAATAACGGAGAACAAAAGGAAAGTGTAGCCTAAATTATAAGTATACATTGTATAGATAAGAGATTTCCAAATAAAAAGGATAGGAATTGACATGTATCCCGTTGCTTTTCTTTTGCAACTAGGGAAAAATACCCGAGCAGAATCTCAACGCAAAGATTGAGGCCAGAGGTATGTTTTGATTGGTTTTTCTTCTTGCACGTGCTTTTCACACCTTACTTCAAGCCTAAAAATTTTAGAGTAATGCGAACATCGTTATTACCACAGAAACTTCATTATTTATGTAGTCTATATATTAAATTGAAATCTTAAATCATCATTTATGACCTAGCTTTTAGTTTTCGTATTATTTAAAAAGAATGAAAAATAGGCTGGCTCTACAATAATAATTGATAGTTCCAAGAGGATGTAAAATACTAAGATGATCCTTTTTTATAGTATTGGATTTTATCATCCAAATGTGCTTCCTTTGGCATAAAGAAGGGGTGAGACGAGTATAAATATCACGCCATATTTGTATTCCAGAAATATCTGCGAAATTCGTCCGTAAGGAAAGACGAATTTGGCGTGTTGGATATTATATCTCTTATTAAAGGG